TATTTTGTATTGCACATATATATCACTTCAAATGGTTTTTTTGTTATATCTAATTTTTATAATAATAATATCACACATATGGAATTTGAATATATTTATTAGAGTTTTTTCACATTATTGATTTTATTAATTTATACAATATTTAGCAATATTGCTTAATCAATTATAGCACAGGGGTGTTTTAATTTTAATTTATTTACATCATTATGGATTAATATTTATTTATTTATTCATATTATTTATTATTAATTAGCACAGATGTGCATGAAATGCACGTTTGAAGGGGAGAGTATTGCAAATATTTTTGTGTTTAGTAGATGGAGCGCGACACATTTAATATTTTATTAGTTCATTTTCACACAGTATTATGAGTATGTGTATTCGTGTTGATGCACCATCACATTTTTAGGAGTCAGTTATTTATAAGTATTTTTCAAATATCACTATAGTAGCTCACAAGTACACATTATTATAATTTTAGTGCCCCATCATTGGTACCAATGGGAGGAATAGTGCCCCATCATTGGTACCAATGGGAGGAATAGTGCCCCATCATTGGTATCAGTGGGAGGAATAGTGCCCCATCATTGGTACCAATGGGAGGACTAGTGCCCCATCATTGCTATTTGGGGGAGTGATCGTGCCCTGTCATTGGTATCAGTAGGAGGAATAGTGCCCCATCATTGGTATCAATGGGAGGAACAGTGCCAATGGGAGGAATAGTGTCCCATAATTGGTATCAATGGGAGGAACAGTGCCCCGTCATTGGTGTCAGTGGGAGTACTAGTGCCCCATTGTTGGTGTCAGTAGGAGGAATAGTGCCCCATCATTGGTGTCAGTGAGAAGACTAGTGTCCCACTGTTAGTGTCAGGAACTATGCCCCACTTTTGCTGACAGTGGGGGGGAATAATGCCCCACATCTGGCCCCTAGGCTGCAGTTTGGAGACCACTGATCTAGGTGAAAAGTGTTCACCATAAACATGTCACTAACCGTTCATTTTTATTATTCCCCAATCCCTTTCTTTCTATAGATTTATTTCTTCTGTATGTACACTGGATCTGCCCTTTTTTTTTTTCTGTGGTGCACTGAAGTGCAGGTCCCATTGGACACACCATCCATCATCAGCTGCCATTCTTCCACAGCATCGTCCACCAGCGCAGTTACCCACCTTACCCATTGGTACCCCCTGTAATGATATGTTGGGGTACCATTCTAAATGAATGTGCCTTACCTGGCCACTGTATGTGTGACTGTACAAGCTCCATCCATCTCAGCTGAGGCAGAGGGGGCACACTGTGAAATGTTTGCCTTGATCATGAGTAGGCAACCTACGGCTCTCTAGCTGTTCTTGAACTACATTTCCCATGAGAAATTGCAAAATTGATAGTTACAGCTATGACTTGCAGAGGCATGATTGAACTTGTTGTCTTGCAACAACTGGAGAGCCGCAGGTTGCCTACCCTTGGTCTTGATCCAGAGGACCTTTTCCCGACTCCGGTCACTACGTCTTCTTCTGTGGATCACTCCAAAAAAAAAACCATGACAACAGTTCTTATTTTCAAAGATATTTATTTAACATAAAAAATGAGATATTCCAAAGTCACATCTCCTATAAAGGCCAATGCAGGTTACAGAAGGCTAAAAAAATGTGTAAGCCGTTTAACATCAAAAGTTCATCAAATGGAAAAAAAAATGTTAATGCGGGATATAAACGGGCGCCTGTACGGAAAGCTTCAACCCATCACAGCTGAGGTTCCCGTTTAGGGAAGGAGTATATCCTCAGTTAAGTTCATCACTATATGAGGCTGCAGGGATGTGTTGTATCTTGAAAAGAGCCATCTGGACGTCTTAATGGCTTTGGAAGGGAGCTTTGACCAAACCGGTGACGTCTTATATGACAGGTTCCCCTTAGAATGGACCTGAACTCAAAGAGTGAAGGTTTTCGATCTTATAGGGAATGCTATTTGTGATTAAAGCTGAACTTCGGAAATGATCTTTATTGCAGAAGAAGTGATATAAAAAAGTTTGGAGACTAGTTTTGTACCACGCCAACAGATGGCAGCACAAGGCTGCACACACAGTCACAGGGAACACCGACCTCCTGTCAGGAAACTAGTGCAGCTAATGCTAATTCTTCTACAGTTAATGCTCGTGCACATGTACCAGCACACAGACGAGCCCAGGCAATTATCCAGCATGCACTGACACGTAGGTGCATTTCTATGTGCCAGTGCACATTGGCGCAAACGCCTTCCCACATTAGTGCCAAGCTGCCTATTTAAAGGAGACACTGCTGTGTACTAATTGCTGGATGTTCTTCAGCTTCCTGTGATCCTGTTTGTACTGACTGATGTTCCGTTGCTGACCTGGCTTGTTCCTGAGCTTGTGGATCTGACCTCGGCTTGGGTGTCAAACTGGTGGCCCTCCAGCTGTTGCGAAACTACAAGTCCAATGATGCCTCTGCCTTTGGGAGTCATGCTTGTAACTGTCAATCTTGCAATGCCTCATGGGACTTGTAGTTTGGCAACAGCTGGAGGGCTGCCAGTTTGACACCTGTGCCTAAAACTACTCTCTGCCTAATCTCCGGGTGCAGACCTTGGCTTTCTACTGGACCTCGCTCTGCTTGCTAACCTGGTACCAATCCCAGCCTGGCTCCTGACCACGCTGCTGTCTCACGGTGTATGACCCTGGCTCACCTTGACTACGACCCTGACCGTGTCAGTCACCCGCTATCAAGCTATCTGGACCCGTGCTTCTGTGAGCCGTGTACCTCTGTCACCACATTCAGGAGTGCTCAGACCAGAGTGGCACGGGAAGCCTTCTTGTGAACTCGGCCTCCAACCAAGGTATGTGACACCGTCAGTGTGCCAAAAGACATCGTCCTGTGTACATTGGGAATTGTACTGGTGCTATTCTGACTACATGCATTACCACATCTGCTATTTCATTATGGACAGCAAGTTAAAACAAATAGACGAAATTCTGTGCGAAACTGGAGAAATCGATGGATCTCCACGATGTTGTCAAAATGGCAACCTCTAAGCTGGATCTTCATCTTCAAGAAGAGGGCATTTTCAGGGTTGAGCTCATTGAAGACCTTCCTGATCTGTTATCTTCCAGTGATGTTCTCCTGCTCTTGAAGTGCGCATGCCACTCAAAGCACCTCGAACAACTCAGGGAAGAGGGTGAAACCCACAGGAGCCAAATTTGGAGAGTAGGGTAGGTGGGGAAGTGAGATCACTGCAGCCTGGGGATGAACTTGGTAGCAATATGGCACGTTCAAATCACACGTGAGGTTTGCCTGGACTGCTCCGTATGACACACCGACAATGACACCAATGTTGTGGATTTTTTTCAACAACCATCATATGCAAGTTGCCAAATGGTTTCGACATTTTTGGGTATTGAATCATTGAAGGTCTTCCTGATCTCTCGTAGTATTCTAGTGATGTTCTGCTGCTCTTGAAGCACGTGTGACACTCAAGACACCTCAAACAACTCATTGCAGCATCGCCGTAAACTTGCCGAATTATGTCAAAGGCCTTTGTGGCAGATTTGCCCTTTGTTTTAACCACTTGCCCTCCAGAGGATTCCCCCCCTTCCTGACCAGGCCATTTTTTTTGCGTTACGGCGCTGCGTTATTTTAACTGACAATTGCGCGGTCGTGCAACGCTGTACCCAAATCACGTTTACGTCCTTTTGTCCCACAAATAGAGCTTTCTTTTGGTGGTATTTGATCGCCTGTGCGGTTTTTATTTTTTGCGCTATAAAAAAAAAAGACCAACAATTTTGAGAAAAAAATATTTTTTACTTTTTCCTATTAAACATGTCCAGTAAAAAAATTTAAAAAAATTAAATTTCGTCATAAATTTAGGTCAAAATGTATTCTGCTCCGTGTCTTTGCTAAAAAAATCTCAATACGTGTAAATTAATTGGTTTACGTGAAAGTTATAGAGTTTACAAATGGCGGTATAGATCCTGGGATTTTTTTTTTCACTAGTAATGGCGGCAATCAGCGACTTATTGCAGGACTGCGGCGGGCATTCTGACACTAGGGGGAACTGACTTGGTGTCACTGACATCCCCAGTGACACCAATACAGTGATCAGTGCTAGTAAAAAGCACTGACACTATACCAATGACACTGGGCAGGAAGGGGTTAACATGTGGGGCGATCAAAGGGGTTAACTGGGTGCTGTTTTACATAGGGGGCTGCGTGTGTGCTTCACTGTAAGCACAATGCTTTGCATGGCACTGCTATGCAGAGCCATGCAAAGCAGTGTGCAGGAGCTGACAGGGGAGAGAACTGTATTGTTTACAAATAGCTCTCTCCCCTGTCGGAGATGCTCGGCAATCACCGGGCATCGGTAAGTAATCACCGGCCGGGACCTGGTGATTGACAACCGCGGCTGTGAATGGCGGCGAAGTGTAGGGTGCGCACGCACCTCTCACGTGCCCCCTACACGAACATGGAATATCACTTATATGTACATGAATGTGCGCACCGCTGCCACCCTGTAACAGTACTTCTGCTATAGGGCGGACAGGAAGCGATTAACTTACTTCTCATGAGGAAATAGCAGATATGGTAACGCACGTGTTTAGAATAGCACCAGTTGCACAGCTCCCGATGGACACAGGACGATGTCTTTTGTCCCACCGACTTATGAAGGTCGGTGCTCCTGTGACTGTGCATGCAGCCTTGCGCTGCCATCTGTTGGCATTCTAGAAAACCTTTTGATACCACCTCATACTTAATAACATGGTGGTTCCTGGCACTCATACAACCCCTATGAGGATGGCCAAATACCTCCCCATCCTTCATTCTCAGAGAGATAGGTGCCCATCTGGATGTTGATTTGTCATAAAAGCACTAGTTGCTCGTTCCCTTGCCTTAGGTGTCACCTCCAAACACGGAAAGCTCAGAAAGAGATGTGAAATAAAGGAGAATCTTTGTAAAAACTGAGATCCTGTGTGAGATTTGAGGGCTTCTTTCTAACTAAAACAAGGGCTTCTCGGCTGTGTGTATCCTCTTATGGATAGCAAGATCTGATCTATCAACAAAACTCATCCCACCTTCTAAACATGAATATGGCTTCTCCCCCGTGTGAATCTTCTGATGCGCAATGAGTTGTTTTTTCCAAGAAAAACACTTGAAGCATTCGGGACAAGAAAAAAGCTCACCACCAGTGTGAGCCAGCTGATGGGAATTCAGATGCGCTTGCTGCTTAAAACATCTGCCGCACTCAGAACAGGAAACCGGTTTTCCAGGTGTATGAGTCCTCATGTGCCCAACCAGGATCGTTCTTTCACGAAAACACTTTCCACATTCCGAACAAGTATACGGCCTCTCCCCCGTGTGAACTTTCCGGTGCGTGGTGAGATTCGATCTCCGGGAAAAACATTTCCCGCATTCGGAACAGGAATACGGTTTCTCCCCCGTGTGGGTCTTCCGATGCCTGGCAACTTCCGATTTCTGTAGAAAACGCTTCCCACATTCGGAGCATGGAAACTGCTTGTCGCCGGTGTGCGTCAACTGATGTGAAACCAGATGGGCTCTCTGGGTGAAGCATTTTCCACATTCCGAGCAGGAAAACGGCTTCTCTGACGTGTGAGTCCTCACGTGGCTAATAAGAGTGGACCTTTCGCTAAAAGACCTCCCACATTCTGAACAGGAATGCGGCTTCGCCCCCGTGTGAACTTTTTTATGAGTGATGAGGTTTGATTTTTGGGAAAACCGTTTCCCACATTGGGTACAAGGAAACGGCTTCTCCCCTGTGTGAGACCTCTGATGCTTGGCCAGAGTCGATCTTTCGGCAAAACTTCTCCCGCATTCTGTACAGGGAAACGGCTTCTCTCCTGTATGAATCCTTTCGTGTGAAATAAGGTGGACCCTCTGCTTAAAACACCTCCCGCATTCCGAGCACGAGTATGGCTTCTCACCCGTGTGACTCCTCTCGTGGGAAACAAGGTGGGCTCTCTGGTGGAAGCATCTCCCACACTGCAAACATGAATAGGGCTTCTCCCCCGTATGAACTTTTTCATGTGTGATGAGATTGGATTTCCAGGAGAAACTCTTCCCACACTCAGAGCACGAATATGGCTTCTCCCCTGTATGAATTCTTTGATGTCTGATCACATCCGACTTCTGTATAAAATATTTACCGCATTCTGAACATGAAAATGGCTTTTCGCTGCTGTGTGTTGCTTGGTGCCTCTGGAGGAGCCATTTTTGGGCAAAACGTTTCCCACATTCAGAACATGAATAAGTTTCCGCCACTGTGGGAGTTCTCTGGGTGACATATTCTTCACGTTCGAAACCCAGAAGTGGTCCACCCGTATGAGTTGTGACAGGATGGAAGCGATCGGTAAAACGTCTGACATTTGTAGAGGGATGGGATGACACATCTGGACTGTGATGGGCTAAATGGAAATTTCGAGTAATGGGGTTTTCTTCTGAAGAATCGCATGCAATGTAATTGTCTTCTATTTCCCCATCGGGATAGCTAGTGGCATGCTCCTCCATGTTGCATCTCTTGTGCCAAACATCTGGAAGGAAAAAGAGGTTGCATGGGTTAGTTTTCGGCCTAGCAGCCCAAGTCATGGTTTGTAGTAATTAGACAGCCACAATGGACATTGATACCGATTTATTCAAAACCAGCGTGATGTCCAGGTTCTGGAATCTTTTCAAATACGGTGTCAACGGTTGGCACCTGAACAGAAGTGCTGCGGTGTCAGTGTTCCGTGGGAGTTGGTTGCCCCAGGCGTGTTCTTAGTATCAGTTTGGCGATAATGAGCACCTGTTGCTTTTTCTGCAGAGCACCTCTTAGGCTAGGCTTTTTGGCTACATTCGGGGTTGTTTTTGTTATCAGGCCGCAAGGCCTGGCCAATCAACTTGCACTGGCACCTATTTATTTATGTTACTTTTGCTCTCCATGTGTTTGTTACGTTACTGTGTTTTTTATTACTTGGATGGATGGTGTGGATTCTTGCTTCTACCCTGAATTCTAGGGGGAGGATGTGTGGCCAAGATCAAGTTTACTATCTGTTCTTCGGAGATGAGAACATAGAGCCCTCTATGGCGAGAGGGAGGGGGCTCTTTCTAGTATCCGGCCTGATATAGTTAGGTGGGAATGGTGGGAGTGGTGGAAGGGCCTTTTTCTTCCTGGGTTGATTCTGGCCTGGTGCACCAGGCTTGTCCCCGGTTGTAGGCAAGGCTCTCCCTAAGATCTGGTGTCTTTCTTGTAGGGATGATGCTGCACTGATCTAGCTGAGAGAAGCCAAAGTGTATGTGCCCCTAGAGTGGCAGTCCAGGGGTCCCGTAATTCTCACGGTGGGGGAGCTCACCTTGGGTTTTCTGCACCATGGCCACTGCGCCAGTACACAATTTTTTCACACCTACCTCTAGGACCAGGCCTTTTGGCTAGGACCAGAGGAATTTTTTATTCCCATCCGAAAGGCCCACCATGGCTTCACTATGGCATTTTGTGCACTTATCCACTTCCCCCATCCATTTTTTATTTGTGTGTCTTAAACTGGCACTTTTGCACATACACTACCCTGATTAGTACAGTGTAGGTGCTCGGGCCTACCCTGAAAGTCTCGGGGCACGTGGCCTTTTGGTCAGGTTCTCCCCCTCCTAGGGGATCTCCATTTGGGGGAGCCCCACTAACTATTTGGGTTGGCCTTGCTTCGACAGGCCTGCCGAGGAAAGGGGTCCGCCTGGTTTTGGCTGGGTGGACCAGTGATTGAGTACCATGGTCCCCGTCAGGAGCATTGCGCCCCATGGGATCAAGGCTAGGGCTCTTTCTCTTTGGAAGAGGACCAAGTGTTCACCCTGTGCACTTTTTTGTTTGTTTCACTTTTGTTTAGTTTAATGAGTATGTTTCACTACACCATGAGACTTCAGAAAAAAAAAAATATGTCCCCTGAATGGGAGGGTCTCTCTTTAAAATTTTGGTAAGGGTAAAAAGGAAGAGCCAGGGAAGACAAAATATAAGCAGATTAAACTTCAGCTTTAAAGTAGAATTCCGGGCAAAACCTTTTTACATGTCCTTGTTGCTAATTTCCTACCTTCATGGATGTGTCCTCCATCTTTTGGATCACTCAGTTTAGTTGCTCTAAAATAGCCTGTTCATTTTCAAACCAAACCAATAATTTCCTTTGGTTTCCTGTTTGTAAGACCAGTGGCTTCCCTGCCTCTTATTCCCCCAGCCATTGGGTTTGGCACCACCCTTCTGTAGTTCTTTCTCCAGGAAGCAGTGATGTCATTCAGCCCCACCTGCAGTGGTGGGCACACGGAGGCTCTCATACACATTCAATATGTACAGGCCTAGTGTACCCGCCCACATTCATTACAATTCCCTGTAGTTGATGGGAAATGTAAGTACATAAGTCCTGACAATTAGTTTTTTTCTGATGGTGATGGGTCATAGTGGTGGAACAAGGAGGCCCTGGGACTCTTCTCTGGATTGAGCGTTTATTCCTCACCTGTGCTGATCTCTGGAGGGATCTTCTCCTCTGATGAGACCCATCACCCCTCATGTACGGATCTTCTGCTTCCTCTTTTACTTTAAATTGATCTTCGTCCTGAGTAGCACAAAATATTGCAAACACAAAATGTTAATATACGGAACCAAACATCATCATTCTCTAAACGTGTGCTTGTGCCAGGAGCTTCCATGTCTTTGGTCTGTAGTTGGGCTTCAAGGTCAAGGCCACCATTATGCTTGCAGTTTACAGTTTTAAAACATTCTGGTGATCACAGATGTATTTCATGACTAAAACTTACTAAGTGAATTAAAAAAACTGACACCAATGGTTTTCCTGACATACAGAGGTTGGACAAAATGATGGAAACACCAGATAAAAGAACAAAATCATTCCTAATATGGTGCTGGACATCCAAGACGGTCTGAATTCTCCTGGGAATCGGCATATAGAAGTCTTGGATGGTGGATAACGGAATCTGATCCCACTCTTCCTGTAAAAATCATTTCAGGTCTCCAGGAGTTGAAAAACGAGCCCCAACCTTGTTCTCCAAAATTGATCGTAGTGGCTCTATGGCAAGGGTGGCAAACTGGCGGCCATCCAGATGTTGCGAAACTACAAGTCCCATCATGCCTCTGCCTTTGGGAGTCACGCTTGTAACTGTCAATCTTGCAATGCCCCATGGGACTTGTTGTTTGGCTACAGCTGGAGAGCCGCAAGTTTGACACCTGTGCTCTATGGTATTGAGCTACCGGCGACTTCATCTGCATGCTCGTCAAACCACGATTTGACAACACCAGTTGTGTGAATCGGAGCATTATCGTCTTGGTAAATGGCGCTGTCTTTGGGAAACAATATCTGCATGGACTGCACATGGTTGGCAAACATTTGTACCTAGTCACTGGCAGTGACTCTACCTTTCAAGGTGCAGAATACCAAGATATGGCCACCTAAACCAAGATTGTGCCGCCACCATGCTTTACAGTTGACACAAGACAGTCCTGATGGTAAGCTGGGGGCGGTGTTGGCCACACGCAAACATGTCCAGTGGTTGGGAAGAGTGTGAAGCTCGATTCATTGGACCATATTACAGTCTTCCACTGATGTATAGCCCACGAGTTACGGGTGTTGCACCGCTCTCTCCTCTTCAAATCATTAACATCGGTCACTAGGGGTTCGGCAATTGCAGCTCGCCCGTCAACGTTCCCTCTGCAGTCTTTGTGGGCACAGGCTTTGGAAGACTGAGATTGAGTTCTGCAGTCACTTTTTCCGTTTTCTTTTCCTGGGTCGCAATCCTGCGCAATGTCCTTTTGTCTTTTTCAGTCAGTTGACCATGTCGACCACGGTTATCAGACAATGTTTTCCCGGAATCTGTATACGCTGCCATAACCTTTGGTACTGGACCTCCCATTGTGGCAAATAAATTGGCAACTTCAGTCACAGAGGCACCAGCTAAGTGGCACCAACAATTTGAGCTTTGAAGCTCAGTAAGCTCTGCCATGACTATTGTCCAACCTCTGTATATATGCAAGGGTAGAAGACAAATAAAGACATCTGGTTGGCCTTTGCGTCGGCTATATACGCCTGGTTCTCTTTGTATTTGCACGTTATTACAGTATGTAGCATTTTTTTTAGGACCCTCAGTTCAATGTACCTGATGATATGGGAGCTCCAGATGTTCCTGTGTGGAATCCCGGGAACATAGAGGACGGGGACACCTCCTTGGTGGACATTCGTTATTGGCTCCACCTTTAGAAGAAACACACATAACGGTAGTTCCAGAAGACAACATTTTGAACTCTAAGAAAATACGTGTTCATACAAAATGAGAGAGGAAGACTAAAGCTGTCCTTACACTGGTAGGTTTTTCTGCAAAAGTCTCATTTGGTTTTCAGAACGTCCATTCGATTATCTAAAGCAGGGGTCTCCAAACTACGGCCCTCCAGGTGTTGAGGAACTGCAAGTCCCATGAGGCCTTGCAAGGCTCTGACATACACAGGCAAGATTCCCAGAGGCAGAGGCATGATGGGACTTGTAGTACTTCAACGGCTGGAGGGACACAGTTTGGAAACTCCTGATCTAAGGAGTTAGCGGCGCTAATTCAACAACCATTTTGAGCAGGAGTGGAAAAAAGAAAGGACAACGATCAAGCCTAATTGTAACTAATTCACTGCTATTTGTTTCATTGGCTAACTTGTAGACATGTGCAGAATGAATAAATGTGTTTTGTATCGGATCCGTTAGTTAATAATTTCATTTCATTACATTTGTAACAAAATTAATTTTATTTTTCTATTCTATTCTATCCCATTATTTTCTATTTTATTCTTTTTTTTTAAATGTTCTATTCTGTTCTGTACTTGAATTGAATGACCCTCAAGAGATCGGCCTAGAAACTAGCTGGGAAACAGATATTGTCATATGCGAATTCTTGCTTACTGCAACTGTAAAAAGAACAGCTTATAGCATAGCTCTGTCAATATGCATACAAAACGCAGAACAGAGTTGCAGATGTTGAAATGCACAAATTTTAAAATGGAGAGTAGTGAACTCTATGGAACAGCTTCTTATACATAACCAAGTTTTGCACCTTTAAACTCCACAAATCATAAATAGCACAATAGATTTTTTAAGGGCTTAGCAGGTAGAAGGTTATAGGCCCTTCTAAAGAAGGACCTAACTGGGTCATATTGATGAGACAGCTGTACTTCAGTATTTTTAAGAGACCAAGAACAAGGCAATTCCTCAAACTTATTTCCACCAGGAGGCTCAGTGTATTGCTATAAAGAGTTTCTACAATACTGAGTGTATCACCACCAGAAGCTCCTGCAATACTGAGTGTATCACCCCCGGGAGCTCCTCCAATACTGAGTGTATCACCCCCGGGAGCTCCTCCAATACTGAGTGTATCACCCCCGGGAGCTCCTCCAATACTGAGTGTATCACCCCCGGGAGCTCCTCCAATACTGAGTGTATCACCCCCGGGAGCTCCTCCAATACTGAGTGTATCACCCCCGGGAGCTCCTCCAATACTGAGTGTATCACCCCCGGGAGCTCCTCCAATACTGAGTGTATCACCCCCGGGAGCTCCTCCAATACTGAGTGTATCACCCCCGGGAGCTCCTCCAATACCGAGTGTCTCACCACTGGAAGTTCCTCTAAGGCTGAGTGTGATACCATCAGGGGTTCCTCCGAGGCTGAGTGTATCACCATCAGGGGTACCTCTCCTCCCAAGGCTGAGAGAGTGTCTCACCATCAGGAGCTCCTCCGAGGCTGAGTGTATCACCATCAGGAGCTCCTCCAATACTTAGTGTCTCACCACTGGAAGTTCCTCTAAAGCTGAGTGTGATACCATCGGGTTCCTCCGAGGCTGAGTATATCACCATCAGGGGGCTTGTATCAACATCAGGGGTTCCTCCATGGCTGAGTGTATCAACATCAGGAACTCCTGCGAGGCTGAGTATATCACCATCAGGAGCTCCTCCAATACTGAGTGTCTCACCATATGAAGTTTCTCTAAGGCTAAGTGTAATGCCATCAGGGGTTCCTCCAAGGTTAAGTGTATCACCATCAGGGGTACCTCCAAGGCTGAGTGTATCACCATCAGGAGCTCCTCTGAAGCGGTGTGTATCACCATCGGGGGTTTCTCCAACACTGAGGGGTTTATTTACTAAAGCTGGAGAGTCCAAAATCAGACTCCCTTCTGCATAGAAACCAATCAGCTTCTAACCTCAGCTTGTTCAATGAAGCTTTGGCAAAGAAACCTGTAAGCTGATTGGTTTCTATGCAGAAGGGAGTCTGATTTTGGACTCTCCAGCTTTAGTAAATAAACCCCTGAGTGTCTCACCATCAGGAGCTCCTCCAAAACTGAGTGTATCACCATCAGGGGTTCCTCCAAAGCTGAGTGTATCACCATCAGGGGTTCCTCCAAAGCTGAGTGTATCACCATCAGGGGTTCCTCCAAAGCTGATTGTCTCACCATCAGGAGCTCCTCCAAAGCTGATTGCTTTATTACCAGCAGAAACTCGACATCTTAAAATATCCTAGAACGGGACTTGCCTTTCATAAATACATATGGGATTTCTCTCCTGCTCAGTGTTACTCAATTATACTCCAAGGGCCATGCAGCAGGACAAATGTACAAAATCCAACAGCCAATGAAAAAGAAAAACTCTAAACAATGAAAGTATTTAAGTATTTTTTGCTCACCTGTGCTGATCTCTGTAAGAATTTCCTCCTCTTCTTTAATCCTCACAAGTCCTCTTTCCTCCTCCTCAGCTTTGATGTCTCTCTCAGTGTCTCCGGGATCTGTGAATAAAGAGGAGAGTGAAGTCCCCTGTACTGAGATGTATGAGAGACCCCAGAGAGTGTGTGTGGGGGGGAGACTGGTCACATCTCAATGACATGATGTGAGGAGGAGAACCGGAGTCTAATAGAGGCTGATGGCTCCTGACCCCCCCCCACTGGGCACATACTGTCCCCCCCATTACTGTCTACTGACAGAGGAGGGGGGGAGAAGAAGAGATGGTTGTAGTGACTGAACAAGGAGGATCTGGGACTCTTCTCTGGATTTAGTGTTTATTCCTCACCTGTGCTGACCTCTGGAGGGATCTCCTCCTCCTTACATGGACCATCATCTGTCACATATGACCCTTCTAGATCTTCTTTCACTTCCACTTTAATCAAATTTTCACCCTGAAGAAAAAGTTTAAATAGGACATGCTCTTAGATCTAGCAGGTCGCTGCAACAAATAAAAACATCATCCCTAATCTCACCTACCTGATCCTTCTGAGGGATCTCCTGATGTTCCTGGGTGGAGTCCCGGGAATACAGAGGACCGGGACATCTCTCTGGTGGGTTCCCATTAATGGATCCATCTGTAGGAAACACACACACACTGACTGAATACATTGTTTCTATGTCTTTATATCAGAGGTAGAGATGAGCATGTTCAGATCCTTGTCCAAACTCACCCGATTGAACCCATTGGGAAGCTGTCTCCTGTACTGGGCTTCTCATAAACGACTGAAGCATTCCCCCGACTTGAAGAAGAATGCCCCAACCACAGATGCTTGGACCAGTACAGGTGATGGCTTCTTGATGGGCTTGGCTATGTTAGTTTGGACAAGGATCAGAACTCACCTGAGCTCATTCCTAATCAGAGCATGTATGTATCTAGGTGGTTCCTCAATACAAGAAATGAAAGTCTCTCTTACCCGGTGATGTGAGGGGCGGCCGGTTCTCCATCATGACGTTCTACAGATCCTTGTGTCTTTCTATATACTCCCATCCTCTAATGTTTCTATGTCTTTCTATCAGAGGATGTGTGTATCTAGGTGGATCCTCAATACAAGAAATGAAAGTCTCCTCTTACCCGGTGATGTGAGGGGCGGTCGGTCCTCCATCATGACGTCCTTGTGTCCTATATTGTTCCACCCCTCTATATGTCCAATGTGCCTAAAATATAAGCTGAAATATGAATTCACTGTTATTAGATATGCAAACACCAAGACCCGTACATGCACTGCTGCAAAATTTATTTTCAAAACGGTGGTATTTTTCTGTGGCCTCTCAGTTAGGCTTTCCTATACCTATCCACTGGAAATGTAGACGTATCCGGCACCTCTTGGTGCTCCCTTAGTAGATCAGGGATTCAGGATTCTAGCCGGTCTGAGGTGGGGGTGCAGTAAAAAAATGTTGGGTGGGGATGGGAGGTCAGCAGGATAGTACACAGAAAGAGGAATCAGTAGGGCAGAGTACAGTTGGCTAGCGGGGCAATGCCAAATGTGTGGATGGGGGAACTGGGTTTTTTTTTTTTTGTTCAACCCACTGGTCTAATGTATGGGGTGACCTACTTTAACCCCTTCAATACCGGGCACTGTTAACCCCTTCCTGCAATTTTCAGCTTTCAGCGCTGTCGCACTTTGTATGACAATTGCGCGGTCATGCGACACTGTACCCATATTAATTTTTCTCTTTTTATTTTAAGCAGATAGAGCTTTTGGTGGCATTTAATCACCACTGGTGATTTTTCGCTAAACAAATGAAAAAAGAAAAAAAAAATTTCTCTTAGTTTCTGTTATAACATTTTGCAAATAAATAATTGTTCTTCTTTACTGATGTGCGCTGATGAGGCACTGCTGCACTGCACTGAGGCTGCACTGATGGGCACTGATGAGGCTGCCCTGAAGGACACTGACGAGGCTGCCCTAAAGGGCACTGACGAGGCTGCCCTAAAGGGCACTGATGAGGCTGCCCTGAAGGGCACTGATGAGGCTGCCCTGAAGGGCCTGATAGGCACTGATGAGGCTGCCCTGATGGGCACTGATGAGGCTGCACTGACAGTGATGAGTACTGACATGCTATCCTAATGGGCACTGATGAGGTTACACTGATAGGCTGCACTGATAGGCACTGATGAGGCTGCACTGATGAAGCAGTACTGATGGCCACTGATGTGGTGGCACAGATAAGATGTACTGATGAAGAGCCACTGATGGACACTGATAAGGTTGCACTGTCGAAGCAGCCCTGATGGCCACTGATTGTTTTTTAACAACAACAACAAAAACAGTCAGAGTCAATGGACTACTCTGTCTTTTTCTGCCTTCATTTTTTCTATGTTTCTATCATAAGCTGCACTGATGAGGCTGCACTGTGGGCACTGATGAGGCTACACTGATGGGTACTGACAGGTTGCACTGATGAAGCAGCACTGATAATCTGCACTGATGAAGAGGCACTGGTGGGCACTGATTAGGCTCCACTGTAGAAGCAGCACTGATGGCCACTGATGAGGTGGCACTGATGTGCACTGATTATTTTTTTAACAAACACAAGCAGAAAAAAAAAGTGGTAGACTCAATGGACCACTCAGTCTCTTTCTGTCGTCACTTTTCTATGTTTCTATGATAAGCTGCACTGTTGGGCGCTGATGAGGCTGCACTGATGGGCGCTGATGAGGCTGCACTGATGGGCGCTGACGAGGCTGCACTGATGGGCACTGATGAGGCTGCACTGATGGGCACTGATAAGGCTACATTGATGGGCACTGATGAGGATGCACTGATGAGGCTGCACTGATGGGTACTGATAAGCTGCACTGATGGGGCTGCACTGATTATCAGTGTAAATGTCCAGTCACAAGAAAGCCAGTTATTGACTTTCCTTTCCTCAGACAAAGACAGCGCTGAGGGATGGAAAAGTGATCAACTGTGATTGGACACAGCTGATCACACGGTATAGAGCCAACATCATTGGCTCTTTACCCTGATTGGTGATGCGCTGTCTCCGAGGGTCATAGTACATCCTCCCAGGATGAGAGCGGTCCCGCTCGTCATTGTACAATAGGCCAGGCAGGAACCAGTTAAAAAAGAACTTCACTGAAACCAGCAACAGTGGAGGCAATGAACACCGTGGTCAGGTCTCTGTAGATCTGTGCATAGCGTAGAGTGCAGGGGTTAGGAGTAAGCAATAAACAAAACAACATATAGAGTACAGCAGTCAGGAAGAGTGCCCCGTTCACATCAGAGTCCTTCTTTATTTCAACATTCCCTGGCATTACCCCCTTACATTCGTGTCTCCCAAGTCCCACCTTACATCAGTGTCCCCAGAGTCCCCCTTACACCAGAGTCTAGCAGAGTGCCCCCTTACATCAGAGTCTGGCAGAGTGCCCCCATTACATTGGAGTCTGGCAGAGTGCCCCCCTACATTGGAGTCTGGCAGAGTGCCCCCTTACACATACCTTCACCACTGGTGGGTGGCTGGCGTGAAAAGGCGTTAAAAATAATCCCATAGCTTCTGGCTTTGAACTGCGCATGCTCAGTTGCCGAGCCAGCCAATTAGTGAATTACTGGGCTCAGCCTAAACTAGTGGGGCATGTGAATATAAGCCATGTCTGATAAGCGCCATGACGTCACTTTGTAGGCGCACACCTGGACCTGCCCTGCTACCTGATCTGAGGCCAAGCTGGGCAGTTCTCTAATAGGCTGACTCTGATAAGCGCCATGACGTCCCTGTGTAGGCGCACACCTGGACCTGCCCTGCTATCTGATCTGATGCCAAGCTGGGCAGTTCTCTAATAGGCTGACTCCGGACCTGTGTATGCAAAATTAGAGCTAACGACAAGAGGATTTTTTCTGAGCATTTTTCTTTATGACCAGGAGAAAAGTGCCTGTTTTTTTTTTTTTTTTTACAAAAGATCTGTAAATTTACTAGTGATGCACCGATATATCGGCCATTGAAATATATCAGCCAAAAATAGGGTTATCAGCGTTTTGCCGATAGAAATAAAGTGCCGACTTCAATGTAAAATCGCATCCTATTGACTTCAATGCAAAATCGTGTCCTATGACTTCATTGTAAAATCGCAACCCATTGACTCCAATGCAAAAGCGTCCTCTATTGACTTCAATCCAAAATCGCGTCCTATTGATGTGAATGCAAAACCACGTCCCATTGACTCCAATGCAGAATCGTGTACTACTGACTCCAATGTAAAATCGTCCTCTATTAACTTCAATGATGCAAAATCGTGTCCTATGGCTCCAATGTAAAATCACGTCACATTGACTCCAATGCAAAAACACACCCTGTTTACTTCAATGCAAAATCACATCCTATTAACTCCGATGTAAAATCGCATCCCCACTGACTCCCAATGCAAAAAAGTCCTCTATTGACTTCAATTTTAAACCAAGTCCCATTGACTCCAATGCAAAAAACGCCCCCCCTACTGACTCCAATGTAAAATTGCTTCCCACTGACTCCAATGCAAAAGCATCCCCTATTGACTTCAATGCAAAGCTGCATCCCATTGCCTCCAATGCAAAAACACCCCCTATTGACTTCAATGCAAAATCATGTCCTATTGACTCCAATGTAAAGTCGCATCCCATTGACTCCAAAGCAAAATCGTGTCCTATTGACTTCAATGTAAAACCACTTCCCATTGACTCCAATGCAAAAAAAAAACCCTATTAACTTCAATGCATAATTGCGTCCTATTGACTCTAATGTAAAATCGCATCCCGTTGACTCCAATGAAAAAGCATCCCCTATTGACTTCAATGCAAAAGCACATCCCATTGACTCCAATGCAAAAACACCTCCTATGGACTTCAATGCAAAATCACATCCTATTAACTCCAATGTAAAATCACGTCCCATTGACTCCAATGCAAAAACCACATTCCATTGACTCTAATGCAAAAACGCTCCCTATTGACATTAAGGCAAAAATGACTCTATTTAATTTTTTTTCATGCACCTCGCTGGACTTAACTCCTAGTGTGCCTTCACGTTTTACGAAGGAGCTGAATTCCTGAAAATCAGCTTTAAGCAGCTGACCACCAATGATCGGGGGGGGCTTTTTCGACTGACCACCAGTAGAATGTACTTGAAACATGGACTGCATAATATGGGCACGGTGTATACAGGGATTAGGGTATCTGCTATGCCCGGCCCTCCCTCTGCCCAATCACAGAAGACTTTGTATTATATGAACACATTCACAAAATACAAAGGTTTCTGTGAATGGGCAGCAGAAAGGAGCGGTGGGCATAGCTGCTCTGTGTGCCTCTATCCCGTCTCTCACAGCCCTGATTGTAATTCCCACCAGAACAAAACCCGTCAAATATAAATAACAGAGCTAAGTCCAGGAGGTGTCATGCACCTCCTTGGACTTAACTCCTTCATATTTTTTTTCTTTTTTACAAAGCAGCTGAATTCCTCAAATTTAGCTTTCAAAAAAAAAAGTCCTTCCTTCCCCTAATCATGGCTGCTCAGCCGCAGTGTAAAAAGTCATTCCGGTACATCGTGGCAATCCTACGGCTGATGCACAATCCGGCGACCATTCCTGCGTTAAATGCCAAATTCTCTGGTCACGTATTACCAGGGACCAAAAAAAAGGGACCCCTCCACCACCCAGTCCAGTCTGGGACCCCACCACCACCCAGTCCAGCCTAAGACCCCTCCACCACCCAGTCCAGTCTGGGACCCCTCCACCACCCAGTCCAGCCTAAGACCCCTCCACCACCCAGTCCAGTTTGGGACCCCGCTCCTCTCATAATAAGAAGACCATATTACCTTCTCCTCACCAAACACACGCGGGGATGCCAACATTGATGGAAGCTCTACACTCCTAGGCTGCCATTTTCTTGGTATTTCTTGTCTTGTCTGTGATGTGTGAGGCTCCCCCTAATTCTATTCATGGCCCCTTCCTGTGGGAACTTATCTAACCAATCACCATGATGTGAGAAGGAAGAACAAAAAAAAAAAAAAAAAAATTGACTACAACAAAATGGCCACCAGCCCCCTCTGCTTCTAGAGACACGTCTAGTGCTTCAGATATAAACAAGGACTACATCAATAATATTTACAAATTCAAAATAAAGATATTTTTCTGAAATAAGATGATGTATAAAGAACTGTTATTAAATGAAATTATGATACAATTTTTCTTTTTAATCATGGGACACTTTGGACTACAAGAAAATGGCTGCTGCCAGGAAAAGGTGGTGACAAAGGATTTGTCCTCTAGCGTAGGGGGTCGTAGGTGGGCGGGGCCTGTTTGCTCTTTAAGTAGGGTTTGTGCTCTAGAGCTGGGCGCCATTTTCTTGTAGCCCAGCTGAAACAACCCAGCATAGCAGACAGAATTGTTCTCAATTTGCAGCAGCAGCAGCTGGTGGGGGTGTGAGACTGGAGAGTGTGTGTCCAGTGAGGAGGAGGTAATAATTATAAAAATAATATTATTAATAATATATATATTTATTTTATTTTTTTTATATAAGAAAAGGGGGGGTCCCAGCCCTCTGTGTGGACTGGATGGGGGGGAGATTATGTCCCCTTGCCCCCCCCCCCCCCCCTATATGTCAGGGTGTGATTTCTGCAGGCTTTGTGGAAAAAGTGCTTTTTTTGAGAGGAAGGCTCACCTGGCCAATAGGAATTCCTATATAGCCACGAATGCGGTTCGGTGTGCTGTTGTGACGCTCTCCGGGTGAATTAGGATTGGCCCGGCTGTCCCGAATGTTTGCATCTGATTTCCTCAATGGACAGAGAACCTCAGCCCATAGCCTGCGAGGACCCCGTTTTGTGTTTTTAACCCGTTTGGCACCAGAGTAAATTTTTTTTTCCCCTTGCGTGTAAAACAAATCATAATTTTTTGGGCAATAAAATTACTTAACGCTTTCGCTGCCAGAGCCGTTTTTGCATTTTTTTTTTATTTTATTTTTTTTTTAATTTTTAATTATTTTAGGCCCGAAGATTACACGAAAACCTCCCAAAACCTGACCTATTTTCTGAAAGCAGACACCCTTTGAGAATAAATTAGCGGTAGTTCCAATTTTCGTTTACGTCACACGATATTATGGGAAAGGTGAAAAACACACTAAAGTGAATTGTAGGGCAAACAAATGCAATAGATGACCCAAATATTTGGTAAAGTATAAAAGATGGGGATGCGGCAAGTAAATAGATACCCAACATGCTGAACTTAAAATTTGCATGCGCCTGTGAAATGGCGACAAACTTCAGTACTTTATATTTTCTATAGGTGACGCTTCAAAGCCCCTACAGGTCATCACTTTAGAGTTACGGGGGAGGTCTGGTGCCAGAATTATTGCTCTCACTACGGCGTGTGTGACGATATGTAACATGTATCACAATCCATGATTTCACGTGTAGGCGCCTTGATGTGTGCGTTTGTGTTGTATATGCGTATATGTCGGGGTGGCTCAAAATTTTTTTGGGGGTGATGTTGCGTGCTTGGGTGTAACTTTTTTTTTTTTTTTGCAGCGGGAACCTCCACCACTGAATGTATGTAATGGTAAGGGGTACTGGGGTGTGCTGGAAGGTTTATTGATGCTGACTGCTGAAGGATCTATTGTTGCTGGAGGGCATCTATTTTTCCATGGGGGTTCTATTGTTGCTGAGGGTGGATTTATGGTTGCTTGGAGAAACCTATTGTTGAGGGAGGGTCTATTGATGCTGGCTGGTTTATAGTTGCTTGTGGGGGGATCTATGGTTACTGGGAGAGATATACTGTTGAGGGAGGGGTTTGGCTGCTGGCTGCTGGCTGCTGGGAGATCTGTTGATGCTGCCGGGGGGTATTGTTGTTGGGGGGATCTGTTGTTGCTGGCTGCAGGGGACCTATTTCATTGCTTTTCTTGTTGTTATCAACAAATTCCACACAAATTTAACACCATAAAATGATACTTGGTTCTGTAGTCTTTAAAAGGGACAGTACTCAGAGGTGGGTAAGGGGTGGTGACAAGGGACAGTACTCAGTGATGGGTATGGGGTGGAAACGAGGGACAGTACTCGGAGATGGATAGCAAGATAGCAAGGGAGACAGTACTAGGGACAGTACTAGGAGGTGGGTAGTGGGTGAAGACAAGGGACAGTACTCGGAGGTTGGGTAGTGGGTGGAGACAAGGGACAGTACTCGGAGGTGGGTAAGGGGTGGTGACAAGGGACAGTACTCAGCCATGGGTATGGGGTGGAGACGTGGGATAGTACTCGGAGATGGATAGCGGGTGGAGACAAGGGACAGTACTCAGAGGTGGGTAGGGGGATGGAGACAAGGGACAGTACTTATAGGTGGGTAGTAGGTATAGAGAAGGGACAGTACTCGGATGTGGGTAGTGGGTGGAGACAAGGGACAGTACTCGGAGGTGGGTGGAGACAAGGGACAGTATGTGGAAGTGGGTAGCGGGTGGAGACAAGGGACAGTACTCGGAGGTGGGTAGAAGGTGGAGACAAGGGACAGTGCTCGGAGGTGGGTAGCAGGTGGAGACAAGGGACAGTACTCGGAGGTGGGTGGAGACAAGGGACAGTATGTGGAAGTGGGTAGCGGGTGGAGACAAGGGACAGTACTCGGAGGTGGGTAGCAGGTGGAGACAAGGGACAGTGCTCGGAGGTGGGTAGCAGGTGGAGACAAGGGACAGTACTCGGAGGTGGGTAGCAGGTGGAGACAAGGGACAGTACTCGGAGTTGGGTAGTGGGTGTAGACAAGGGACCATACTCAGAGGTGGGTAGGGGGGAGGAGACAAGGGACAGTACTCAAGGGTGGATAAGGGATGGTTACAAGGGACAGTACTCAGGGGTGGGTAAGGGTAGTGACAAAGGACAGTACTCGTAGGTGGGTAAGGGGTAGTGACAAGGGACAGTACTCAGTGGTGGGTATGGGGTGGAGACAAGGGACAGTACTCAGTCGTGGGTATGGGGTGGAGACAAGGGACAGTGCTTGGAGGTGAGTAGTGGGTGGAGATGAGGGACAGTACTTGGAGGTGGGTAGTGGGTGGCGATGAGGGACAGTACTCGGAGGTGAGTAGTGGGTGGAGATGAGGGACAGTACTTGGAGGTGGGTAGTGGGTGGCGATGAGGGACAGTACTCGGAGGTGAGTAGTGGGTGGAGATAAGGGACAGTACTCGGAGGTGGGTAGTGGGTGGAGACAAGGGAAAGTACTTGGATGTGGGTAGGGGGGTGGAGACAAGGGACAATACTCAGGGGTGGTGACAAGGGATAGTACTCAGGGGTGGGTAAGGGGTGGAGACAAGGGACAATACTCATGGGTGGGTAAGGGGTAGTGACAAGGGACAGTACTTGGAGGTGGGTAGTGGGTGTAGACAACGGGCAGTAATCAGAGGTGGGTGGAGACAAGGGACAGTACTCATAGGTGGGTAGTGGGTGGAGACAAGGGACAGTATTCGGAGGTGGGTAGGAGGTGGGGACAAGGGACAGTACTCAGAGGTGGGTAGTGGGTGGAGAAAAGGGTGACTCAGAATGTGGGAGATCCTGCACCCATTCTCTGAGAAATAAAGCCTTGGGGCAAACCATAGATAGGGGGAGGAATCATGATGGGGGGGATGAAGGCAGCTTGATTTTTCTAAACCAGAGTATTCTTTTTATATTCTAACCCAGACGTTCAGAGGAGTGAGCGTTTTAAGAAGAACATGAGGATGTCATGATGGAGAACCAGTCGCCCCTCACATCACTGGGTAAGAGCAGACTTTCATTTCTTGTAAATGCTCATTCGCACGTGAGGCTATTATTGCCACCCCTCTGAAAAGCAATCAAGGGTATATTGCTTTTCAGAGGGTGTTTGACAGGTGGTGAGGAGGCAATATCTTTTAACCTTCGACCTGTTGTGGTGTAGCCCCATTCACTCAGAGGTTTTTCAGCCATGCTTACCAAAAATGAAAAGTGAGCAGCTACAGAGACTCAGGGGTCCAGCGCTGTCCTCACCAGGGCTGGTTCTCCATTGGCCTTCGGGTCACAGCAATCGAGGTGTAGCGTGGCGTATTTGAATTTGGTGCAGGACCTTTTTTTTTTTTTCTTTTTTTTTTTTTTTTTTTACTGTGTAGTACCAGCAGAAATCTGTTCTTAGATGCTGCATTGAATCACCCCAATGTATTCAGTCAGTGTGTGTATTTTCTACAGATGGATCCAGTAATGGGAACCCACCAGAGAGATGTCCCCGTCCTCTGTATTCCCGGCCTTCCAAACAGGAACATCAGGAGATCCCTCAGGTGGATCAGGTAGATGAGATTAAGAATAATGTTTCTATATGATTGTTGCAGAGATCTACTAGATCTAAGAGCATGCACTATTTACACTTGTTCTTCAGGGTGAAAATGTGTTTAAAGTGATGGTTAAAGAAGATCTAGAACGGTCATATATGATGGGTGATGGTCCATGTAAGGAGGAGGAGAACCCTCCAGTGATCAGCACAGGTGAGGAATAAACACTAAATCCAGAGAAGAGTCCCAGATCCTCCTTGTTCATTCACTACAACAATCTCTTCTTCTCCCCCCTCCTCTGTCAGTAGACAGTAATGGGGGGACAGTATGTGCCCAGTGGGGGGGGGGTCAGGAGCCATCAGCCTCTATTAGACTCCGGCTCTCCTCGTCACATCATGTCATTGAAACGTGACCAGTCTCCCTCCACACACACTCTCTGGGGTCTCTCATGCAGCTCAGTACAGGGGGCTTCACTCTCATTTTTATTCACAGACCCTGGAGACACCAGATCCGTTCAGGAGGACTTCAAAGTTGAGGAGGAGGAAGAAGGACATACAAGGATTAAAGAGGAGGGAGTTGCTCTAGAGATCAACACAGGTGAGTAATAAACCAGCCAACATTGCCTGATCTAGGAGGGTGCAGGGGGTTGGCAATGCCCCCCCATAGTTTAGTTGTGCCCCTCAAAGCCAACCCTAACCTTCCACTATACTGCCCTAATCTGATATTTTGCTGCCCTAGCCTGGCACTATACTGATCCAATTAATGCATTGTGGGGAGGTGGAGCTCAGCTGCTTGTACCCAGGCTGTGTGCAGTGCAGGGATGGGAGAAGGAGCTGTGCCCCTGTCCTCTGCCCTGTCAGCGGCGTTTCCTGTCCTCTGCCTTGCCACCAGGGATAGTGTCTTATCTCCCTAACAAGCCCTCTATTCTCCCTCATTGCCAGCCGTTGAACTTCAGCACTGTAAAGCTTCTGTCAACCTTCCCCTCTAACGGAGCTAAGACATACAATCAAGGCTGGAAATGTACAGATTTTTATTGAATATAGTATAGTTTTTGAAACCAAGGAGAGGGGAGAGAATTTCCTATAGCAAAGTGCATGCTCTGGGCTTCAACATAATGGCAACCTCCGGCAACAAGAATGAAGAAGAATGCTGGATGGTCCCGCACGCATGCAAACCATGATCATCCCACACACGTGAAGTATCGTTGTGATCATCAGATCAAGGGCAGTAATTCTAACACCAGACCTCCTCTGTAAATCTAAAGTGCTAATCTGTAAAGGCTTTTAAAACGTCACCTATGAATAGTACAATTTACACCGTTGGTCGCAGTTGCACGGGTGTGCGCAATTTTAAAGTGTGACATGTTTGGTATCAATTTACTCAGTGTAATATCACTCTTTATATTTTACAAAACAAATAGGGTTATGTATTGTGGTTTTTGTGTAATTTTTTTTCTCCCAAAAAATGCACTTGAAAATAAACGTTGGGCAAATGTTTCTGCCCATCTTTTGTTTTATCTTCAAATGGGCTTTAAAATGTGTGTTTCCTACAGATGGATCCAGTAATGGGAACCCACCAGAGAGATGTCCCCGTCGTCTGTATTCCATGGACTCCACACAGGAAGGTCCCACCATCCCTCACCACCATCAGGTAGATGGATCCAGTAATGGGAACCCACCAGAGACATGTCCCTGTCCTCTGTATTCCCAGGACTCCACACGGGAAGGTCACAACATCCCTCACCACCATCCGGTAGATGGATCCAGTAATGGGAACCCACCAGAGAGATGTCCCCGTCCTCTGTATTCCCGGGACTCCACACAGGAAGGTCCCACCATCTCTCACCACCATTAGGTAGATGGATCCAGTAATGGGAATCCACCAGAGAGATGTCCCCGTACTCTGTATTCCCGGGACTCCACACAGGAAGGTCAGGAGATCCCTCAGGAGGATCAGGTAGACGGGATATGAAGTCATATAAAATATCAGTTGTGCTTTGTTCAGACTATTCTGTGTGTTTAATTTATGTTCAGTTCAGTAACTGGTGGCCATCTGTGTAAAAAAGGAATGACAGAATAGGCTGAATTCCGTTGCGCCTTCTTTCATTCCTTTTTTACATGTGACATTGGAGATCTGCCTCTGCTTTACTTTGGAGGCTGCCTTGAGGTACTAACCATTTCGTGGTCCTCCTACTGGATCCACCAAGTGGCCCTTGTCCCCCTCTCCCCCTCCCCTCCATCGTGCCCCTTTTTACCTTTCACCCCCCCCCCCCCCCCCGTGGAACTATGGACCTAATTGTGGACATCTAATTTTGCGCCAACTCTCACTAAGTGTGGCCATCTGTGTAGTCTGAGTAATTCATCATTTACTAACTTATTAATAATTTACTGTCACTTTGCAATATTCAGGATGAAAGTTTGATTGTTGTGAAAGTTGAAGTTAAAGAGGAAGCCGAAGATCCCTATGTGATGGATAATCGATGTAAGAAGGAGGAGATCCCTCCAGAGATCAGCCCAGGTGAGGAATAAATACTAAATCCAGAAAGGGCTCCCAGATCCTCCTTGAATCAAAGCACACGTCAACCGGGAAGAGCGCCATACCAAAAGATCAAAAGATAGGAGTCCAAATCACAAAAGGAATTTAAACATCCAACATGTTTAAAAGCCAAATCACTACTCAGGGCTTGAAATGGTTCTGAAGGTTCTATGCATTGGGGCTGTGGTCACCAAACTGTGGCCCGAAGAGCCGGATGTGGCCCTCTGCTTGCCTTTATGCGTCCCTTGGGCACTATTCCTCTCATTGATACAAGGCATTATTTTCTCCTACTGACACCAATGATGAGGCATCATTCTTTCCAAAAACGCCAACAGTGGGGCATAATTCCTCTCACTGACGTCAACAGTGGGGCATTTTTCCTTCCACGTCTGAACATTATTCCTCCCCACTGACATCAAAGATGGAGCACTATTACACCCACTAATACCATCAATGGGGCACTATTCTTCCCACTATTACCAATGATGGGGCACTATTCCTCCCACTGATACCAATAATGGGGTACTATTCCTTCCCACTGATACCAACAATGGGGTACTATTCTTCCCACTCCCAACTGGGGTATACCAACAATGGGGGGGTACTATTCTTCCCACTGATACCAACAATGGGGTACTATTCTTCCCACTGATACCAACAATGGGGTACTATTCTTCCCACTGATACCAACAATGGGGTACTATTCCCTCCACTGACACCAACGATGAGGCACTATTCTTTCCACTGATGGGGCACTACCAACGATGGGGCACTATTCTTTCCACTGATACCAACGATGGGGCACTATTCTTTCCACTGATACCAACGATGGGGCACTATTCCTCCTCCTTCTGACCACAAGCGCTATGTAATTTTTTTGCTCCCACTGACCAGCAAGCCCGAGGCATTTTCTGCACCCACTGGCCCTCCTAAAGTCTGATGGACAGTACACTGGCCCTTTGTTTAACCATTTCCATACCTGGCACTTTTACCCCCTTCCTGCCCAGGCCATTTCAGGTTTCAGCGCTGTCACACTTTGAATGACAATTGCGCGGTCATACAACATTGTACCCAAACTAAAATTTTATCATTTTCTTCACACAACTAGAGCTTTCTTTTAGTGGTATTTAATCACCACTGGGGTTTTTATTTTTTGCTAAATTAACAAAAAAAACTAAATTGTGGGGAAAAAAAAAACCCACGTTTTTCTTTGTTTTTGTTATAAAAGTTTGCAAATAAATAATTGTTCTTCATAAATTTAGGCCAAGATGTATTCTACTACATGTCTTTGGTGAAAATAACCCAAATTAGGATGTAGTTTGTAGGAAAGTTATAGAGTTCACAAACTATGGGAAATATCTGAAAATTGATCAATCTTGAAGTACTGACAATCTAATTTCTTGAGGTCCAAGAATGTCAGAATAATTACAGATATCCCCCAAATGACCCCTTTTTTGCAAAGTAGACAGTCCAACGTACTTCATAAGAGGCATGGCGAGTTTTTTGAAGTTGTATTTTTCCCCTTTCGTCTTTCAGGACAGCAACTTGAGAGACCTCGGCTCTTCCCCACCTGAGGAAACACCTCCACCCAACATAAAAAGTTCTCCACTCCACTCCGACCTCAGTTCAGGTGTTTTCTCCGGTGGGGAGACACGTGAGGAAGCGCTAGGTGCTGTCAGGTAGGCAGGCAGGGGAGCCGAGGGTCGGAGAGCCGGCTGTGAGGCTCCGGGCAGCCAGGAGTGAAGGCCGGAGCGTCCGGCTGCGATCCTCCCTGGGCTGGCTGCCGTGCAGTGGGCGTGCGCCCTGGGGGACAGGGAACGGCACGTACCTGCTCTTGCCCCCCAACCCCCTCCGGCGAATTGTCGGGGCAGCCGTGGTGAGGACCGGGGAGGAGTCCTGCTCCTTCCCATGCTGGCAGGCTGTGAAGCTTGCCGGGCCGGACATTGGGGGACGGTGGTTTCCGGCGGAAGGGGCGGGGCTTCTCCCAGGGGGCACACGGCTTCCGCTTCCGGTCGAAGCCCTGGCACCACGGCCCGCGAAATTCAAAAGGTGGTGCGGTGCGGAACAGCCTGCGGGGACAGGCCAGCACCACCCTCCTGAGAAGGATGTCAGAGGCACCGAGACCAAGGGGATGCCAGCACCAGCTATTCACAGGTAAGGTGACTCGGAGGAGTCCTCCCCTACCTGGTGGCCCCTAGCTCCTGGGGCATTCCCGGACGCTCTGGTGGTGAGGGTCTTCATGGGCAGGGTAGGGGGTCTGTGGAGGGGTCAGGCCCTTAAGGCCTGCTAGGGAAGGGGGGGGGGGGTTAGGCTATGGCGGTGGGTGTTAGGCTTCCTTTCTGCCCTCTTGTGTTTTTCAGGGCAAGGCCCAGGCAAAGCTGAAATATCAGGAGCCTAAGTGCAGATGCCCATCCTACAAAGAAATTTTAAGACTCCTGGAGGAAGGTTCTTTGCGGCCCGTGTATAGAAGGGTTGGTAAAGGAAGAGAGGCCAGAGCAGGGTGACTTAGTCAGGTCAGTGAAGGAACTGGCCAGCACCTTCGACTCTTTTAAAAACCTTATGGAAAGGTTAGCCGTTCCCCAAGCCACACCGTGCCCCCCCCCCCCCCCCCCCGGTGGTAGTAGGTCGGAGCAGAGAACTCCTCTTAGCAGAAGAGGACGAAGGGCCTTTGGAGGATTCCCAGTCGGAGGAGGAGTCTGCTGGGGAGGGCCCATCAGGTGAGGGCAGGGGTCCCTCGCGGTACAAACTGTCCCTAGAGGAGGTTAATGACCTCTTAGGGGCTATTTACGAGACCCTAGACATCAAGGAGGAGGTTAAGACCTTGTCCCTGCACGATCAAATGTATCCGGTTGGAGGAACAAAGGCACCGAGTGTTTCCTGTACATGATATTTTGGTGGATACCATCAAAAAAGAGTGGCAGGATCCGGAAAGGAAACCCTTCTTTTCTAGAACTTTGAAAAGGAGGTTCCCATTTAGTGAGGATCCGGAGGCTGTGTGGAATAAAAACCCCAAACTCGACGCAGCTTTTTCTCAAACAGCGAGGAGGACGGACCTAGCATTTGAGGATATGGGGGTCTTGCCGGATTTACTGGTCAGGAGAGCGGAATCTCTCCTCAAGAAGGTTTGGGATTCAAACCTGTCCAACTTGAAGCCTACCATGGCCACACCTGTCGTGGCCAGAAACCTTGAATATTGGTTGACACAGTTACAGGCCCATATTGTAGCAGACTCCCTAAAAAAAAGATCTTGGCTTCTTTCGAGACCCTGTTACAGGGTGTGGGGTTTATCGCGGATGCGTCCGCAGAGTCAGTAAGGCTGGGGGCCAGGTCAGCAGCCCTGACGAACTCTGCTAGGAGAGCTCTGTGGTTGAAGACTTGGCAGGGCGATATCACATCAAAGGTGAGATTGTGTGGCATCCCCTTTACGGGAGATTTCCTGTTCGGACCAGGGTTGGAGGAGATTCTAGACCGGACGGCGGATAGGAAAAAGTCCTTCCCCTTAAAAGGAAGTTGCAGGAGGGAGGGACGCGAAAGGTTCGCCCAGCCAAGAGACAGAACCTCAGGCCAGAAAGACAGAGTAGGTCGTGGGGGCAGAGAGGGAGGTGAGGGGCGATTTTTCGCCCTCCTGAGCAGCCCCAGAAGCCAAGGTGACTTGATTCCTCCTGTGGGAGGAAGATTGGCGGCCTTTCTCCCACAGTGGGAAGTAGCGGTTGCCAGCCCCTTTATTCTAGATATCATCAGAAGGGGTTACCGGCTGGAGTTCGTAGAGCCGCCACCAGGAAGATTCTTTGTGACAGCCCAGCCAAGGGGCCCGGCGAGGGCCTCGGCCCTAATGGGCGCACTAAGGGATCTGGAGGACCAGAGAGTCATCACCAAGGTCCCGGAGGAGGAAAAGGGGAAAGGATTTTATTCCCACGTGTTCATGATTCAGAAGCAGTCGGGGGCGTTCCGGCTGATTCTGAACCTGAAGCCCCTAAACGGTGGTGCGATACAGGAGGTTCCGTATGGACTCCATTTTCACGGTCAAAACACTACTCCCACCAGGGACGTTTATGGCCTCGATAGATTTAAGGGACGCATACCTTCACGTGCCCATCGCGGAACCCCCGCAACGTTTTCTCAGGTTGGCGGTGCAGGGGGAAGCAGGAATACGGCATTGGCAGTTCAGAGCTCTACCATTCGGACTGTCTTCCTTGCCGAGGGTGTTCACAAAAATTCTGACAGAGGCTCTGGTTCCCATCCACATGAAGGGGATTGCGGTAATAGCCTACTTGGACGACCTGCTTCTCTTCGCAGACTCAGAGTCCCAGCTGCGGCAGAACATTGCCACAGTAAGGGGTCATCTGGAAAACCTAGGGTGGCTTTTGAACCTGGAAAAGTCCTGTTTTGGTGCCCACCCAAAGAGCGGTTTACTTGGGATATATTCTGGATTCTGTAAGGCAGAGGACCTTCTTAACTCCAGAAAAGGTTACCAAATTAGACGCAGGGGTCACTTTGTTACAGGGGAGTAGGTCGGTAACAGTGAGGCAGGCCATGTCGGTGCTGGGGTTGCTGACATCTTCCATCCCAGCAGTGCAGTGGGCGGGTTTCCATCTGCGTCCCCTCCAGCTGTGGATTCTGAGGACTTGGGACAAAAGGATTCAATCCTTGGAGGACCAGGTCCTTGTTCCCCCCAGTGTGAAGAGGTCTCTGTGGTGGTGGAGGAAATCGTCCAACGTGACCCAGGGGCTGTTGTGGTGTTTCTCCGTGACCAGGAAAGTCACGACGGATGCCAGCGCTCTTGGGTGGGGAGCCCACCTGGGAGATTTAGTGGTTCAGGGGGAGTGGTCCTCTGTAGAGAGGAGAGAATCCTCGAATTGGAGAGAGTTGAGGGCAGTAGGAGAGGCTCTCCGCTCCTTCCAAGACAGGATCAGGGGCCAGCATGTACGGGTCTTGACGGACAATGCTACAGCAGTAGCATACATCAACAGACGGGGGGGGACAAGGAGCAGGGCTCTCGGATCCCTAGCAGCATTGGTTCTATCCTGGGCAGAGAGGAACCTAGCTTCCCTGTCTGCGGTACACCTAAAGGGAGAATTAAATCGGAAGACAGACTTCCTGAGCAGGACTCTGCTCAGAGAATCAGAGTGGGCCCTGAACACGGAGGTTTTTTCAGGCGATCATACAGAGATGGGGGTCCCTGGACATAGATCTCTTCGCCTCAGGGAGGAACAAAAGAGTCCCAAGGTTCTTCTCCCTGAGCTGTGGGGACTGGTCATTAGCGGTGGATACGTTAGGACAGAGGTGGGACTACCCGCTGTGCTACGCTTTCCCCCCGGTCCCCTTACTCCCCCTAGTGTTAAGAAAATTCCGGACAGAAAAAAACCTCGCTCATCTTGATCGCCCCCTTTTGGCCGCGGCGAGCGTGGTTTGCTACCCTAAAGAGCTTAGCCACACACACGCCCTGGGAATTGCCGCCAAGGAAGGATCTGCTGATGCAGGGGACGGTCCTATGCCCCAGGTTGGAGAGACTGATGCTATCGGCCTGGTTTCTGAGCTGCAGCTCCTTTTAGCTAAGGGGTTTTTAACCAGGCTGGTGACGATGTTGCTGTCCAGTAGAAAGGAGGAGACTCAGGCCATTTATAACAGGGTCTGGGGTTGCTTTACGGCCTGGTGCGATAGGGTGTCAGTAGCGACCCATAGCATGGTCTCAGTATTGGAGTTCCTGCAAGCAGGGGCGGACAAGGGGCTGTCGGCACGCTCAAGGGCCAGGTTTTGGCCCTCAGCGTATTCTTGGAAATGCTCTTAGCCAGGGAAGCGCTGGTAGGGAGATTTTTTAAGGCCCTAGCGAAGCAGAGGCCTCCGAGGTCGGGGCCTTTTCCAGGGTGGGACTTAGCCAAGGTGCTGGGAGCGTGGATTAAGGCCCCGTTCGAGCCCCTGGAGTCCTGCCCGATAAGGGACCTTACTATTAAGATGGCCTTTTTAGTGGCAATTACCACAGCAAGGAGGGTATGTGAGCTGCTGGAGGCCCTTACTGTTACAGCCCCCTATCTACAGATTTTTCCGGATAGAGTGGTGTTGAGACCGGACCCATCCTTCATTCCAAAGGTGGCCCAGAGATTCCAGAGGGAGCAGGATATAGTGCTACCCTCATTTTTTCCTGACCCGGTTGGGGAAGTTCAGGAGAAACTTAATTTTTTGGATGTCAGAAGGTGTGTGCTCCTGTACCTTGAAAAGACAAAAGGGTTTAGGAGCACAGAATCCTTTTTTTGTTTCTTTCACAGGGGCCAGGAGGGGCAAGAAAGCTTCTAGAAGGACACTAGCCAGATGGTTGAAACTGGCAATTACGGGAGCATACCGCGCAGAAGGCCTAGAGGCCCCAGGAGGGGATCAGGGCACATTCCACCCAAGTGGTAGCAACTACCCAGGTGGAGCTGGCGGGGGCTTCCCCAGGACAAATCTGCAGGGCGGCTACCTGGTCCAGCTATGACACTTTTGTAAGGCATTACAGGCTCGACCTGGTCTCCGGTGCAGGATCAGGCCTTTGGGCGTAAAGTCTTGCAAGCAGTTGGCCCGCCCGATGGGTGAGTACTCGCTTATCCTCTCAAGGTGCTGTCCTGAAAGACGAAAGGGAAAAAATCAAGTTACACTTACGGTAACGTCTTTTCCAGTAGTCTTTCAGGACAGCACTGATTGCCCACCCAGTGTTGATATTTGGTTACGTGAGAATGTTTTATTGCGGTCATGTTGTCTCATGTTGTGTCTCCCCAGGTGACCGGAGGTACGATTTATGAACTGAAGTCGGAGGGGAGTGGAGAATTTTTTATGTTGGGTGGAGGTGTTTCCTCAGGTGGGGAGGAGCCGAGGTCTCTCAAGGTGCTGTCCTGAAAGACTACTGGAAAAGACGTTACCATAAGTGTAACTTGATTTTTTTTTTTTTTTTTTTTTACACAATTTGCTTATAGCAAAGAATTACTTTGCTATAAGCAAGCATTTACCTGAATGACATCGATTCATTCAGGGCTTTTTTTGTTTTGTTTTTTTTGTGCTTAGCTGTGATTTGGCCACGGCTAATCACATGACACAGCTGGGCTGTGATTGGCCCAGCTTGTGCATGTGATTGCTGTGACCATTCACAGCTAGGCACACTAGTATACAATGGAGAGCATGAATGAAGCCATCCATTGTATACAACTGTCATGTGACCTGCTGTGATTGGTCACAGCAGGTCACATGGTACCGGCAACAGGGCCAGTACTCAGATCTGTTATCGGCCGTGTCCGAGGTACACGGCCGGTGACAAACTGCGCGGCTCTGCAGGCGCGTAAACTGCGCATGCCCGGGAGGACACCATATGGCGTCCACCCGGAACGCTGAAGGATTTTGCCGGCCGCCATCTGGCCATAGGCCGGGAGGTAAACAGCAACTGCTGTCCTGGTCTCCTACTTTTCATTGGCTCACACAGCCAGGGCTTCTGTTAGAAACCACGGGGCCCTATAGAGCCAACCTGGCAGCCCCCCACCCAAAAAAAAGTTTACTATGCTTCAGTTATGAATGAATGAACACAGTGAGTGATTGGTACCGATCACTCATTGTGTTCATCCAGGAAAAAAAGCGGCTGGTAAAATGTGACATATTTACCAGACCAGAAGCGAAGGACAAGCCGGGTCATCCACAGGTAAGCAGGTACAGCAGATCAGGTCACAGGAACAAGCTGGAGACCATTCAGCAACTGCTCATAATGACGGACCAGTTTAAATAGGCCACTGGGCGCCAAGTGTGCATGCTAATTGGAATGCGTGTGCCCGTCTGCATGCGCGCACAAACATGTGCATGATGAACTGAAATGGCTCATCTATTGCTTCTGTTAGTGTTAGTGTTGGGGTTACAGGGAGGGTCAGTGTTGGGGTTACAGGGAGGGTCAGTGTTGGGGTTACAGGGAGGGTCAGTGTTGGGGTTACGGGGAGGGTCAGTGTTGGGTTACGGGGAGGATTAGTGTTGTGGTCACATGGGGGGGTTGGGGTTGAGGTCACATGGGGGGAGTTGGGGTTGAGGTCACATGGGGGGAGTTGGGGTTGAGGTCACATGGGGGGAGTTGGGGTTGAGGTCACATGGGGGGAGTTGGGGTTGAGGTCACATGGGGGGAGTTGGTGTTGAGGTTACAGGGAATATTGGTGATGAGGTACATGGGGGGGTTAGTGTTGGGGTTACAGGGAATGTTGGTGTTGAGGTCACATGGGGGGTTGGTGTTAGGGTTACAGGGAATGTTGGTGTTTGTCACATGAGGGGGTTTGTGTTGAGGTCACACGGGGGGGTTGGGGTTGCAGGGAATGTTGGTGATGAGGTCACATGGGGGGGTTGGTGTTAGGGTTACAGGGAATGTTGGTGTTGAGGTCACATGGGGGGGTTAGTGTTGAGGTTACAGGGAATGTTGGTGTTGAGGTCACATGGGGGGGGTTGGTGTTGAGGTTATAGGGAATGTTGGTGATGAGGTCACATGGGGAGGATTAGTGTTGGGGTTACACGGAATGTTGGTTTTGAGGTCACATGGGGGGGTTTGGTGTTAGGGTTACAGGGGTTTTTTTATGTTGAGGTCACATGGGGGGGTTGGTGTTAGGGTTACAGGGAATGTTGGAGTTGAGGTCACATGGGGGGGGGGTTGGTGTTCGGGTTACAGGGAATGTTGGTTTTGTGGTCACATGGGGGGTTGGTGTTGGGGTTACAGGGAGTGTTGGGGTTACAGGGAGTGTTGGGGGTTGAGGTCACATGGGGGGTTGGTGTTAGGGTTACAGGGAATGTTGGTGTTGAGGTCACATAGGGGGGTTAGTGTTGAGGTTACAGGGAATGTTGGTGTTGAGGTTACAGGGAATGTTGGTGTTGAAGTCACATGTGGGGCGTTGGTGTTGAGGTCACATGGGGGGGGGGTTGGTGTTGAGGTTATAGGGAATGTTGGTGATGAGGTCACGTGGGGAGGGTTAGTGTTGGGGTTACAGGGAATGTTGGTGTTTGTCACATGGGGGGGTTGATGTTGGGGTTACAGGGAGTGTTGGGGTTACAGGAAGGGTTGGTATTGAGGTCACATGGGGAGGTTAGTGTTAGGATTACAGGGAATGTGGGTGTGAAGGAGCCTAAGGGTAGGGCACCACTCTCCATCAGGTTCCAATAGTGAATGCCACCATTCTGTGCAGTGAATACGGATAATAACCTGGAGGCCTGTGAAATGATGTGGCTTAGGATGTGCGGAGTGTTCCTATACGTACCTCTAACCTGCTCTGTTCCCATTGATCTGTCATTTCCTCCAGATGGGCGATACAGAAAGCACAACACAGAGAAGTGTCTCAATGTCTCTCCAGATGATGAAATAGAAGTCGATGACATCACATCCAAAGATACGGCAAACATCCAGACAACCCCAACTCTCCGTCCCGACCTTCCCAGTGCAGATCTGTCATCGGACCCTTCCACACATGGGGAGAGCTTTCTCGATCAATCCCCTCCCGTCACTCGCCTTGCAGCAACTAGAGGTGGTGAGACCTTTCCGTGCTCTGTGTGTGGGAAATGTTTTCCCAGGAGAGCAAAACTCATTGCGCACCAGAGGACTCACACAGGGGAGAAGCCATATTCCTGCTCAGAGTGCAGGAAGTGTTTCACTGAAAAATCCAACCTTGCTACGCACCAGAGGACTCACACGGCCGAGAAGCCGTTTTCCTGTCCGGAATGCGGAAAGTCCTTTAACCAGAGAGTCCACCTTATATCGCACCAGAGAACTCACTCCGGAGAGAAGCCGTTTTCTTGCTCCGAGTGCGGAGAATGTTTTTCGCGGAAATACACTCTCATCCGACACGAAAAGGTTCACACGGGGGAGAAGCCTTATTCCTGTTCGGAGTGCGGGAAATGTTTTTCCCTGAGAGCCACTCTCATTGCCCACGAAAGGACTCACACGGGAGAGAAACCATTTTCATGTTCGGAGTGCGGGAAATGTTACTCTTGGAAGGAGCTTCTGATTAAACACCAGCGAAGCCACACCGGGGAGAAACCGTATTCATGTTCTGAGTGCGGAAAGTGTTTTTCTGAAAAATCGCTTCTTGCCAAACACGAACGACTTCACACGGGGGAGAAGCCATTTTCCTGCCCCGAATGTGGTGAGAGCTTTACGCAGAGAGCCCATCTGATTCCACATCAAAGGACACACACAGGTGATCGGCCATATTTGTGTTCGGAGTGTGGGAAACGGTTTTCAAAGAAATCTTCTCTGACCTCACACCTAAGGTCTCACAGGGAACGAGAGGCTCTGGGTTTAGGTTGTGACTGCTGAGTAGGCGCACACAACTGGGGCGGTAAAATTTTATCATCCACCTTTAACCATGGCATGGCATTCGGTCTTGGTTCACACTACTGCGACCTGAAAGTCGCACAACTTGCACTGCGACTTTGCTGGGCAATTTGAGTACTACTTTGAAGCATCTTTTAAGCGATTTTCAGGGAATGCCTGGGTAATATTCCTGTAATGTCGGATCCAAATCACATCAATATAGATGAGGATCCTACTTGGAGGCGACTTCCATTAAAGTCTATGGGCACAAGCGGGTAGAAGTCTCCTTGAAGTAGTACAGGAATCTTTTCTAAGTCTTGGTTCACACTACTGCGACCTGAAATTGCGACTTTGCCGGGCAACTTGAGTACTACTTTAAAGCGACTTTCAGGGAATGCCTGGGAAATCTTCCTGTAATGTTGGATCCTAATCATATCAATATAGCTGAGGATCCTACATGGAGGCGACTTCTATTAAAGTCTATGGGCACAAGTCTGATAGAAGTCGCCTTGAAGTAGTCCAGGAACCATTTCTAAAGTTGGAGTGACTTCAGTAGTGCTAATTAAGACGGCTCTCATTGGCTAACATGGGGTTTCATGTGTTATGCAACTTGGCGTCTCACACATCGGATCCTAAGTCGCGGCAGTGTGAACCGAACCTAAAGTCGGAGCGACTTCAGTAATTCTAATTAGGACCACTCTCATTGGCTAACATGGGATTTCATGGGGTTCACACTACCGTGACCTGAAAGTGCGACTTTGCCAGGCAACTTGAGTACTAAGTTGAAGCGACTGTGAAGCAGCTTTCAGGGAATGCCTGGGTAATCTTCCTGTAATGTCGGATCCAAATCACATCAATATAGATGAGGATCCCACTTGGAGGAGACTTCCATTAAAGTCTATGGGCACAAGTCAGAAGTCGCCTTGACAGGAAACTTTTCTAAATCTTGGTTCACACTACTGCGACCAGAAAGTGCGCCTTTGCCAGGCAACTTGAGTACTACTTTGAAGCGACTCTGAAGCAACTTTCAAGGAATGCCTGGGTAATCTTCCTGTAATGTCACATCCATATCACATCAATATACGTGAGAATATGACTTGGAGGCGACTTCCATTAAAGTCTATGGGCACAAGTCGGATAGAAGTCACCTTGAAGTAGTACAGGAACTTTTTCTAAAGTTGGAGCGACTTCAGTAGTTCTAATTAAGATGGCTCTCATTGACTGACATGGGATTTCACGTCACACGACCTGGGGTCTCCCGAGTCGCAGCAGTGTGAACCGAGCCTTCCAGTTGCAGAAGGAGCCAGGATCATGTCACGGATTAGGCCCATTCTTTGCATGAGTTTGCTGCTACTTAGCAGAAATAGACCTTTTGCAGCTCCATCAGTGTGCGATTCAGGAGTGACATTAAAGGAAGCATAGTGTTCTTGTACCTATTATGTTGGGGACTGAAATATACCAGGTTTGATTTTTTTTTTTACTTGTCTTTATTTGGGGAATTTTTATTACTAGCAGCCATTAGGTGATGAGAAGGTGCCAGCAAAGCCACCTGACCCCCAGGCTGACTTGTATGTACTGAATAGCAGGATATCAGACTCAGAAGAGAAGCATGCCCCTATAGGAAACTATCTGCAACAGCAACAGGCGAGTGCAGAGATAGTGCTGGGCTTTCTTATTAAAAATCCACCATATTATGTACGTAGGTGGGGTGAGATAAGAGGGAGCCAATTCATGCTAAGGGGTGGAGAGGAGTAGAGTATGGCGGCTGATCGTGTTCCTTTAAAGCGGTAGTAAACCGCCGCAAAAAGTAAACTGTCTCCTGCGGGTTTAGCCCACTGTATACTAGCACATTATGACTGACGTACCTGCAAACAGATCCCTCCGGCTCCCCCACCACGTCCATCTTCACCCGGTCTCCCTTAACATGATAATGTGATTTCAAAACACAATATTTCAGAATTGTGGAAAATAGGGAGCTGATCAAGGCCAGGAATCACATGTGCTGTTGGCAGCGGGCCAGGGTTGGGATGTGCTGTTGGGAGCGGGCCAGGGTTGAGATGTGCTGTCGGCAGCGGGTCAGGGCTGGAATGTGCTGTCGGCAGCGGGTCAGGGCTGGAATGTGCTGTCGGCAGCGGGTCAGGGCTGGAATGTGCTGTCGGCAGCGGGTCAGGGCTGGAATGTGCTGTCGGCAGCGGGTCAGGGCTGGAATGTGCTGTCGGCAGCGGGTCAGGTTGGAATGTGTGGTTAGCAGCTGGTCGGGGATGTGCTGTCGGCAGCTGATCGGGGATGTGCTGTCGGCAGTGGGTCAGGGTTAGTATGTGCTGTCGGCAGCTGGTCGGGGATGTGCTGTCGGCAGCTGGTCGGGGATGTGCTGTCGGCAGCTGGTCAGGGTTGGGATGTGCTGTCGGCAGCGGGTCAGGGTTGGGATGTGGTGCCGGCAGCTGATCAGGATTGGGATGTGCTCGCAGCTGCTCGACCATGGAAACCCATTCCATGAAGCTGTTGTGCTAATCTGAAGGCCACACCAAGTTTGGAGGTCTTCAGCTATTGACTCTGCAGACAGTTGGTGACTTCTGCGCACTGTGTGCTTCAGCATGCGCTGACCCCGCTGTCATGTGACGTGGCCTACCACTTGGTGGTTGAATCGCTGTTGTTCCCAGTTGCTTCCACTTTGTTATAATCCCACTAACAGTTGAGCGTGGAATATTTAGTAGCCAGGAAATGTCACGGATGGACTTATTGCACAGGTGGCAACCTATCAAGGGACCACGCTTGGAGTCACTGAGCTCCTGAGAGCGACCCATTCTTTCACAAATGTTTGTAGAAGCCGTCTGCATGACTAGGGGCTTGATTGTATTCACCTGTGTCCATGGAGGTGATTGGAACACCTGAATCACATGATTTGGAGGGCAGGCCCAATATGTTTGGCAATATAGTGTATGTGAACAGGCACCATAGGAAGCAATGTTATTCACATGTCATGTATATTGGATGCGGTTCAAACTGCATCCAACCCATATATATGTGAACCGGCACTGAAGCTTTACATGGTGGTATAGGCCTGCACTGAAAATATGAGTTTTTCATCCCTTTTATCAATATATGGGGGTGGGCGATAGGATAAGATGCTTAGCAGTGTATTATTCTGTTCCACCCCCCCCCCCCCCCCCCCAAAGCTAGAAATATAATTATTGGTTTCAAAAATTAAAGAAAAACAATATCTATTATTTAATTTGTATTCATCATGGTCATAGATGAACCCCCCATTGTTCTATACAGAAAATGTATTAATGTATTACCTCCTGATTTCTCTTGCCATTTCCATCAGGATTTGGGCTGTCAGATCTCTATATATCTATATCTCATGTTGAAATGCATTTTTTATTATAAAAATATATGTAAAATATTTTTAAAAATACATTTCAAATATACTGTATGTCTTTAAAAATTACAAATCTACATTTTTGGAATACTTTTACAAATCTGTGTTAAAAAAATATGTTAAAATGACTTATTTTATATGCAAAGAAAATCTGAAGACTATATTTAAAAAATATTTATATTTTAAAACATTTATTTTATTTTTTAATATATTCTTCAGATTTTTTTTTTTTTAACATATAAAACTCATTTTAACATTTACATTTTTGGAATGCATTTACAAATATGTTAAAATTACTTTTTTTTTTTTTTTTTTTTTTTTATAGGTTAAAAAAAATCAGAAGAATGTATTTTAAAAATATATCGCATTTCAACATGCAGTGTATATGTGTATATATTTATATATTGAATATGGCTAAAATTGCAGCATTTCAAATATATGGCAATATATTGGAGAAGAATATTTTAAAAATATATTAAAATATATTTTTCTTCCATATGGGATAGGCCTACTGAATAGACCGTATGTAGGAGTCAGATAGAGAGACATCAGGTATTAGTACAGAAATGCCATATTGTCTCCACCATTCATGATGTGCAAGCTTGGGGGATCCTATACCCAACAGTCTCTCGCTTTTCAAAATCTCTGCTGCTGTCACTACTCCTGTCAGACTTGTAACAGAAGGAAGGTGCCCCCATCCCTACAGTAAACCTATGGTGCCCAGGGCAGCCGCCCTTCCCGCCCACCCCTTGCATCCCTTCCCCCAGGTAGACACTTGCCCCAGTAGTGCACTTTAGATAGACTGTAGCTGAAATATTATGAAATTGTGCTCTACCACCGGGCAATGACAGGGAAAAAAGCGGAGGGAAGGATACGGAAGCGAGGGCGGAAGGGAGGGGGAGGGGGGGGCAGCGGCAGGAGAGCAAATCGGGTAGGAGAAGTCATGCCAGATATATCCCATATCCCAAAATATTACTCTCCAAGTAGTTCCGAACCATGCGCATTAATCCAAACAGGATGGCTTCCTGTCATGCCATCCACTGTATACAATTATGTTGTTAGCTGTGACTGCTCAAGGCAGTCACATGATACAGACAGGGCCAATCACAGCCCATCTGTATCATGTGATCAGCTTTGCCCAATCACAGCTAATCCCAAAACACTGAATTAATCAGTTTCATTCAGTAACATTGACTGCAAATATCAATAATATACATCGGTATTAGCAATCAATGTGTTAAGAAAACAAATCCTGATCACTTGTCCAGAGTAGTTCAATGTTACTAGGGTAACATTGTATTGCTTTGGTCACAGCGTGCTGAAAAATAAAATAAAAAAAAAAAAACACTTTTCTTTGTTACAAATTTTGCAAATAACCTTTCTTCATCATTTCTTCATAAATTTAGGTCAAAATGTATTCTGCTACGTTTCTTTGGTGAAAATAATAATATTTGAATTTGTATTTTTTTTTTCCAAATGTTCCTATTTTTTATTAAATTTTTTTCTTTTTTTTACTAAGTTTCAGGTGTTTTTGTTTTTTTGCTTCAGCAAAAAATAAAAAACTCAGTGGTGATTAAATACCACCAAAAGAAAGCTCTATTTATGTGTAAAAAAAATTATA